AATTTTGAAAAAAAAAAGGCTTGTCGTGGAAACAAACTTCAATGATAAAGGTCTTTTTGCTTTCACACCCTTAGAAAAAGCAATTCACTTGTTAAAAAGTTCTTATCATGGGGGAAAGATGTCTCCATTCATCTTTTACTTCTTTTCCACTGAAGATAGTAGTAAAGAGAAGTTTTTGTTGGTCAGGTCTAGCAAGATGTTAATCCATGCTGCTGTCGTTTTTCATGCCAATTCATCAATACTTCACATTGAAAGAGAAGTTGGTTGGAAGCCGAGTTTCTTATCACATCTATAGTGTCTATCTGCTGCTGTTTCTGCTGCTCCAATAATCCAATAATATGGTTGTGGGAGAAGGGGACTATGAACCTGTAACAGGGAAAAGAGAAAAGAAAAAGAAACCGTGAGTGTACAGCTTGTATGTGTAGATGTTTAGCAATGATTGAGAATATCTGAAGGCAGCCAATGGCAGCACAAATAATGAGAAATATTTATAAAGGGGGTTGTCTTTGTATAGGTGGAGTCTGTTGGCTATAGTTAATGGAGTCATTTGGAAGTTGATGGGTACTAGATTATGTTGAATGAATGGAGGAAGAAGATCTGATTCCTCAATTTGCGTTTTCATATTGAAATTAGAAACAGACTTGTTAAAACATTAACTTATCTACACGGTATAATAAATAAAGTTGAACTGCCTTAGTAGCTAGCATCCTTAACTTTGAATCAAAAGGCAGTCCATGTTTACTATCAGCATTTTTTAAAAATGCAAACTAGTGCCCACTAAGGGCATCTGAAGTCCAGAACCAAAATTCAAGGAGGGATTTTAAAGGGGACCATAGGGCAAAGCGAGAAGAACTGCAGGGACATTCTGGAAAAGGGACTTGAACAGAGGAGGTCATCTTTTATATAAATGCGAAGGAATTCCCTTTTGGGACACCACCAGTATGTAACTTTGCCCCTTCTAATGTTGATTTCCTAATATGGGAAATGATGGATCTGAAGAGATGTTTCTACTCACATGTGAACCACATGATCAAGATCTCTGATTTTCCAGGCTACTTGATTATTTTTCAGATGTGTGGCATTCCACAGGAGGGAAATGGTAATAGAGAAGGCCAGGGTTAGGTACGCACTGCCTCTATGTGTAAGAAGGCCTTAGCAGAATTAATGTGTTGATGCATGGAAGGTAACTGAATGTAATAATAAATGAGTTCAATGTAGGGTAGTGATACAAGAGAGGAAATGGGACAAACCTTTTTTTCCCATCTTTCCTGTCCCTACATATCATAGCTTGTCAATCCATCCACATTTGCCCTATGCTCTAATGCAGGCATGGGCACACTTTAGCCCTCCAGGTGTTTTGGACTCCAAGTTCCACAATTTATTTATTTATTTTTTATTTATTTCATTTACTTATACCCCGCCCTTCTCACCCCGGGGGGGACTCAGGGCGGCTTACAGTGGGGCACAATTAGATGCCCAAAACAATACACAAGCAATATGAAACAATCAACAATTAATTAAAACAATAGTACATATTAAAACAATAAAAACAATCTCATGCTCAGGGTTTCAGTGTCACCATATTCATTCCATTTCATTAGTCCTTGCTTATCCTCAGATCCATAGCTATCACCGACCAAAAGCTTGTTCCCAGATCCAGGTCTTTAGTTTTTTCCTAAATACTAGGAGGGAGGATGACAGCCTAATCTCCCCGGGGAGCGCGTTCCACAGGTGGGGGGCCACCACTGAGAAGGCCCTGCTCCTCGTCCCCGCCAGCCTCACTTGTGACGCTAAATAACTTGTGACGCTAGATAAAATATTGCAACGGGTATGAATATATGAAACGTCTTTTTTTAGACAATACATTCCTAACAATTGTGGGAGTTGAAGTCCAAAATGCCCAAAGGGTTGACATTTACCAACTCCTAATGTGTGTCAAAACAGCTTGACATCTCCAATCCCATCTTCTTTCATGAAGCTGGCAAAGAAAGCACGTAGGTCTTGGCAGTTTGAGGTAAGTATGTACTAGGCAAGGAGCTGCCTGCATTATACCAGCCAGACTAAGAAACTATGGAGAACTGAAGTGGGGGAAGGCATCAAACATTCATATCAGGTAGCAGAGAAAGTTGGATTCTGCAAGACCTGGAGGAGTCAAGTGAAAACCTGACAGTACACCTCCTTCAATGGCATTTGAGCTCAGTTGAGTTGCTATGGACAAGTAGGCCTGATAAACATACAAGCTTCCCAATTTGGTTGAGCTAATTCAGGTGCTACCCAATTTAATTTGGATCTGAATTCAGATATAGATTTGGAAATGCAAATTGCCATGTTTCTCACTAGAAATCAACAAATGGATGTAATTTAATTTCTCTCCTGTTTGTTGGAATGGAATGAGTTATTGGGTTGAAGCTTTGATAGTTTCTTGATAGCACTTGCATTCTTGTTTTCTGACATATACAACTCAATCTTATTGTTTTAATCACCTCCATTATATCTGGTTTAGTCTGTAGAGCAATACTAATTGCATTCCAGATTGTATTACTTTCCCTTGTGAGGTTTTGTGAGTGAATGGATTGGAATGTGATCGTTCAATTCCGGTGTTTTATCCTTGCTGTGGGAGGTTTTGCTTCATTTCACAATGTACCAAACCAAGTGGCATTCATAAATATGGCTGCCATGTTGGAACCTAAAATGGACCTCAAACATTTACGAGTTTTATGGGGAATTCAGAGATAGCTGAAGACACACCTGATGAAATCTGTAATTTATTCTACTCTTAAAGCAAGCCTATTAAAGTGCAGCATTCATATTGTAATTCCCAAGTGCTGTCATAGTTCACTCTGTGCTCTATAATCAGATCTATGGTCTCTGTTGGAGCTTTAGATGCTATTCCTGCTGTGCTGTGATTGAATGCGGACATGGATTGAACTCAGTCCTCAGTTGAGTTGGTGTGCATGGGAGAGAATGGGGTGGAAGCAAATAAGTTTTCATTCCATATTGAATTTAATGGATGCTTTTTAGTGTGTATTATGTTTTATCAGCACTGGTGTTAGGTGGTTGGTTGCCAGGTTGTCTTTTCATCTGCCCATTCCATTTCTGAGTCCATTCAGGGACTTCCAAGTTGTCCATTCTTGGTTTGCCCCTGGAGGAAGACCCAGGGGTGGGGTGGGGGGCATCCAGTTGGGAATTCCTGGTTTAGCTGCCCAGAGGGATACCTGGGGGATGCCAAGTGTTTCCTTGATTTGAATCTACTGGGAGGAGGCTGGCATCCATGTAGTGGATGGCTTTCACTCTCATTTTTCTCACATTTCAAACTCATTTCTCTCACATTTAGCAGCAACTTCCCGTCGCACATCGGGGGGGGGGGGGAGGCAATGCCAGCTAGCTTGTAGACTTTATCAACAGGTGTAGGTTTAAGACATCCTGTCATTATTATGCATGTTTCATTCAGTGCTATGTTCACCTGCTTTGCATGGGCAGACCTATGCCAAACAGGGCAGGCATACTCGGCAGACAAGGCTAGGGCTGGTGTTTTTATTAATTTTGGGTCTTCACTCCATGTGCTGCCAGTATGTTTCTGCAGAATGTTATTGTATGCACCTACTTTGTGTTTGGTGTTCAAGCAGTATTTCCTATATGCTAGTGTTCGATCTAAGGTGACACTGAGGTATTTAGGATGGAAACAAATAAAAAAGTGGAGACACCTTTTCCACATGATAACTTTTTCAGGAGTGAATTTCCTTTTCTGACAGTAGATTCCTCTGACTTTCTGTTGTCTCACCCCATTGTTAATAATGAGTCATTTGCACGTTGAATGTTTGTAACTTGGGGACTGCCTATATATCTCTAGTGAAGATATTACCATGGACATTTCCTGGTCAGATTCATTCAAAGGGGGTTATCATTGCCTTCCTCTAAGACTGAGACCCCATCTACACGGCTATAAAATCTTATTTCCGAATCCAGATTATCTGCTTTGGGACCGGATTATATGGCAGTATAGATCCATCCTGGGAATATGACATGCCCACGGGACACCGATGGGTTACTGTGCTGGAGTCAGGATTGTAGCCTGACATTAAAACCACTCTACCACTTGGGCTGATTAATGAAACAAATGCCATTGCTCACTTGTGGTTTATAGCATGGTGTCTTACAGTACAGATTAAAGCAAAATACTGCAAAAACAATTTATATAAGTGTAAAAATGGATGGATAGTATCCTTGAAGTGACTGGCTTGGCGTTGAAGGAGCTGAGGGTAGTGACGGCTGACAGGGGCTTCAGCCCCCCCCCCCCAAAATTCTCAGGGTGGTCTGTGAGAAGGCCTTACTGGTATATTATCTAAACTGTTATGTTTATTTATATCATGATCTGATCACCACACTCAAGATATCCCATATGCATGGGGGTATTAGGATAACGATACAAAAGGTTTGCTAGGGTAGATCCTCAGTCCCACCCCCAAACCAAACTCAGCCCCCCCCGAACCAAACTCAGCCCCCCCCCCCCAAATCAAAATCCTGGCTACGGGCCTGGGTGCAGCTACTGGACTCTGTAAACACACTCCTAGGGATCACTGAAATCTGGACATTCAGGCTCTAGGCTGACTTTAGGAGTATTTATTTACTTACTTTACTTATATACCGCTGTTCTCAGCCCAAAGGCGACTCACAGCGGTTCACAACCAACTAGAACAGCAGAAATTCAATGCCAGATATAAAACAGTTAACAATCACGCGCAACACACAATTAATAAACACTTACTTACAATAACTAATCACTAACGTCTCATCCACAAAAACCTAATACCCGTGCTTCAAACCTGGTAGCACCACTCTAGACAGAATAGTCTTAGCATTAGGTGCTGAACTCTCCCAGTGTTATAAGTCAGGTAGACACTGAGAAGCAACTGTGTCACCTACCCCTTTCTTTCTATTTTCTACAGCATCTAATGTTATAACTTTCTGGTTAATGTTTTTTCTTTTAAAATTTTGTTTAGGTGCAATTACTTTGTTTGCGTTGATTACTTTAATCATGGATTCTTTCAAGATTGGATTCTTCATTGGATATTCAAATTGCTTATCTGTGACAGAAGGAATTTTCCCAGTCACGCATGCAGTGCATACACTACTGCAGGTAAAAACATTTGGTTTTGGATTATTTCTGTATATGCATTAATCTTTGAATCTGGTGTTCATTTGACAATACTATTCCATTTTAGAGACTGATTACATTTTGAATGTATCATATCACCATGCTTCTGGAACATGGCCATACAGCCCGGAAAACTCACAGCAACCCAGTGCTTCACCATTCACACTCATGCATACCATGAGGCTGGATGACCATCAGAGGCTGGATGGCCATCTGTCAGGGGTGATTTGAATGCAATATTCCTGCTTCTTGGCAGGGGGTTGGACTGGATGGCCCATGAGGTCTCTTCCAACTCTTTGATTCTATGATTCTATGAGTGTGAATAGTCACTAAACTGGGTACAGCAAAGGACAGGGCAAGCCCACTCCCTTCTTTTTTATGTTAGTTGAACACATTCAGCTAGGCCTAATGTGTCATTTACACACACACACACACAAATACACATACAAATGCAGTAACAGTTCACACACATATTTGAATGGAAGAAATATGTTTCTAATATCAAAGCTATAAAGCAATTTTCAGTTGCATCTTGTTAATTTAATGGGTTTTTGTGTAGACAGGAGACACTTAAACTATATTTACTGTCAATCAATTATCAGAATTTCCCACATTGGCTCAGTACTCATAGAGTCTTTTTGTATTTGAAGCCCATATAAAAATATTTTCTTTTACTATAGGTTTTATAAAAGAATTTGTCACATGGACCAGTATTTCCTAACTATAATGTATATACATTATATAGTTAGGAAATACTGGTCTATGTGACAAATTCTTTTATAAAACCTACAGTAAAAGAAAATATTTTGATCCTGAACTCTAATGCCAGCATATGCAGAATGTGTCCCTTATAGTCCATCTTTGCCAAGAGTAATGATATCTCAAGGAGCTATATAAGAATGTAGCTGTTCTCTTCTTCATTTCAGAGGAGTTGGCAAAGGATACATTCCCAGTAGGTACTGCTTTGTTGTCAACAAAGACTATAAAATACTATGTTCATTTCCTGATCTGTATATTGGGATTATATATTGCATACGTTCAGTACCCTTTAATTTTATGAACTAGTTTTTAGCAATTTTGCAAAGGAATCTTTTAGAAAATACCAAGTGGCTAGCTTTCTTAGCAAACAAGACTGTAAGAGTGGTTCCTTGCTTCAGACAGAGCCCTTCTGTCCTTGCAGTTTGGGAAGAACAACAGAAATATCCTTTCCTTCTGTATGCAGTCAACCTTGAAGTCGAGCAGTAACTTAACCTGCTCTCTACATACTGTAGAGCTGTACAGAGGAAGGGAAAGTTACAACCATATATAATTGCCACACAAAACACCTCTTGCAAATACTTCAACATCACAGTGAAGGGCATGATCTAAGAATCTAAAGGAAAGAGAATAACACTCCTATTACTGGTTTTAGGTTTGAACTAAACAAAGGCTTTCAGTCTCCTCCAGTACCTTTTCTATAATTCTACTGCTTCTCATGCCCCTTCAGTCCCAGCCTTTTGTTGCTTATTTTCCACAGCTTTTAACAGATCAAACAAAACTCATTCCAGTGCACACACATCTGGTTATACAGTAAATGAAGCCACAAGACTCAGGAAGGTCACATGTAATGCATTTTGAAAAAACAAAAATCCCTGGACTTCATCTTTCAGTTAAGCTGCTATCTGCTTACAGTAGCTGGAAGAGGTTGAATTAAAAATTGTGTTTTCTTTTATCTCGAGACTTGGGTCCTCATCGGATGTGGGTAATTTAGTGCCCTAGGATGCTTTTACCCCATATCATGGATGGAGCCCCACACCAACTATCACACAATGTTGTGTGACTTCCGGCGGAGGCCCCACCCCCAACCGGATGAAAATGTCACTGGACACTTTCCCCATAACACACTTGCCAGCAAAGGGCCTCACTGGGAGAGCAACGCTTCCCCCATGTGATGGGGAAAGCATCACCGAGAGGGAGATGCACACAGGGTGATTGATTCGCCCCACTGCCCCTCTCCTTTCTTCGTAAAGCCAGGCAAAGTGGGACCCTTCACCTGGCCTTTGTGATGAAGCCCTTAGAACCTGGTTGCACACTCTTCTCTCCAATGCATTTATGATAGCAATTGTGGGGTTATCTAGGAATCCCTGTCATTGATGGTATACCCATTCCTTCCATTTGTGCCTGACAGCCCCGGTCAATCATTCAGGGAATTCCTGCAAGCAGGAAGGAGAAACAGAAACATTGCTCTTGAAGCCACCAAGCTCCTCCCTGCTTTCACAAATGTCAGGGTGCCATCCTTTGGTAAAGCCAGTCTATTCAGTTTGGGGAGATGGAGGGGGTGAATCTCTATTGATCATTTCCTATATTCAGAGAAAGAGCATTTCCTAACAACATTCCCCACTCCATTCACATGATGTTAAAATAGTTCTCCTTCCCCCTCCCACAACCGATTTGCAGTCCCCACTCCATAGTTTACACCAAACTAAGGCCCAGGGGCCGGATACAACCCTCCAAGGTCATTTACCCAACCCTCACTCAGGGTCAACCTAAGTCTGAAACGACTTGAAAGCACACAACAACAACAACAACAACAACTCTATCTCATCAGCCAAAAGCAGGCCCACACTTCCCATTGAAATACTAATAAGTTTATATTTGTTAGAATTGTTCTTCATTTTCATTATTGTATTGTTTTTAAGTGGGTTTTGTTTTGCACTACAAATATGTGCAGTGTGCATAGGAATTCATTCATGTTATTTTCAAATTATAATCCGGTCCTCCAACAGTTTGAGGGACTGTGACCTGGCCCTCTGTTTAGAAAGTTTGAGGAACCCCGGTCTACGCCATTCTTTCCAATTTACAGGGGAGGTTCTACATGAACCATTTATCCTGAGGCAGATCCAGAGTGGTGAATGCTGGAATGGTCACAGAATGGTTTAGATCTCAACCATATCCCTGCTGGTGTAGAGATGGGAGGGAATCCTGATTGACCACCCTTACCATCTCCTTTTATTCTCCTCATTGTGGTGGCCAGCAAATGTGACATGCCAGTCACTCATTGACTGGCGTGACATTGGTCAGGATACCAGTGATGGGAGAAGGGGAAAAGAAGAATTGCCTCTGCCTCCCCCCTCCCTTCTCTGATCATCTCATCTCTTTGGCCAGCACCCACCACCCCATCTAGCTAGCACCATTGCCTTCCATAGACACCTATAGATATAAATTATCTATAGTTTGTTGTATTGATATTTGATTATCCCTGTGGAATAAAGTATGTAAGACGCACTGGTGATTTATATGTTGTCATTTTTGCATCTTTATTGCTCTTGATGTGTCCCACAATTTTTTACTTTTGTTTTTATTTTTTATTTTTGTTTTTATTTTTTTAGATAATATTCTACTTTCAGATTAGAATTCTCCTTTCAGATTAGAATATTATCTAAAAATGTCCTGACAGTTGATTAACGCTTTACATATGACTGGTTTATCTTTTAATTATCTCTTGCACATTCTTCTGAGCTAAGAAATACAGCACCACTTTCTCCCTTATATAATGCATTATTTCTTATTCATATTTTATTTTCAGGTGTACTTCTTATGGTGCCATGCCAAGGATATTATCCAGTCATTCAAAACACTAGAGAGGTAAAATGAATACAATATTTCTATTTTTCTAATAATTGTTTTGAACATTTTAACTTGAAAAGTGCAGTCCTCAGCAAGAATTCTATGTATAGCTGCTCATTGAAATTAGCTAAAAGAGGATTATTATCCATGGGTTGGTGTCTGCATGTGAGCGCCTTCAAGTGTCCTGTCAAGTTATGGCAAACTCGTGACTGTGGATTGTGCAGGCCATGAAAAGCAATTGATTTGTCTTCAAGAAATGGGTTCAAAATAACATTTGATTTTCTTGAAAAAATATGGAAAAATTGAATAGTTTCCCATTGACAGACAAAGCTGTGTTTTAGCACATTAAAAAATGTTGGGAAATGCTGCTGCGTCCCTCTATTCCCAAATGCCCCCCAAAATTTATTCTTTATTCTTTATTTACTGTATTTGTATACCYCCTTTTTCAACCTTTCYGTGACTCAAGGCAGTTTACAGGCAGCAAGTCAATACACATAATATCGAAATGCACATAAAACATTAAATATAATATAAACCACAACAGAAACAATAAGCAAGTGGCAGGAGACAGGTGTTTTTAAAGTCTCCTCCTCAGTCCCCTTTCTCCTCTTAGCTGGCTGGGGGGGGGGGGGAAGCATCAGAATTTCCTCCTTCTCCTCCTGAGGTGTCAGGCAGATGTAGTAAGCAACAGCCAGGAGACAGGTGTTCTCAAAGTCTCCTTCTCAGTCCCCTTTCTCCTCAATACCTCCATTGTCTCTTTATCCAATCAAACACTGGAAGCAAGGAGGTCATACAACAGGTTTATTTGATCAAATCACCCTGCCGAGTGAACAGAGGAAGTGCCAAATAAAACTGAGACACAGCTTAGTTTTGTAGTCAACACCTTGAGCATGCCCACAGGTTATTTTCAGTCTATTTTCTCTGATTTGTGAGAAAACCCACTCATCTATATCTCTTCTTTTTGTTCCCTTCTGGTGCCAGCTCTTATCGGTATTCCTGTGCCTGCTTTTCCTCAGCAGCTGATTCCCCCTCCCACATTTCCCCTCCTGCACCTGCTTGTTACTAGGCATTTTCCTTTTGAACTTTCCCCTTGTCTGAACTTTCTCCTTTGGCTGTCCATTTTCCACTACTACCTTAGCCCTAGTCCCTTCAATCTGTGTACAAGTAACAGTTGTGGCTTGAGTGTTGGATTAGGAATCTGGGAAGCAAGAGTTCAAAGCTTGCAGCCTTGGGCAAGTCACACACTCTCAAGAGAAGGCAATGGCAAACATCTCCTGATTAAATCTTGTCAACAAAACCCTATGATAAAATGTATATATTGAAAGAACATAACAAATTAGCAAATAAATATAGTATGGTAAAATAACTTGTTTCCAGAGTTTTACATGTTTGTATTTGCTCTCCATTCATTTCTTAACATTTTAGGTTTGGAGTGATCCATTCGGTATTTACAAATCTTCTTTTGTGGACAAATGGTGTACTAACAGAATCAAAGCATCAACTTAATAATCACAAAGAAAGATTAATTACTCTTGGATTTCGAAACATATCAATAGGTAAGATAAAATCTTATTCATTTTTAGAGTTATACTTTTATGCTTTATGGTTGTCCAATAACAAGAAATTGATGAGAGCTAGTGTAATATAGCAATTTGAACTTAGGAGTGCAGTTCTGGAGACCAGGGTTCAAATCCCTGTTTGGCCTGGAAACCCACTGGGTCACTCCATGCAAGCCTCTCCTTTGAACATATCTTGCCAATTAAAAAATGTAATAGAGTTGTCTTAGGGTCATTATAAGTCAAGAATGAAGGCACACAACTACAAAAAACAGATATTGTAGGAAGGGAGCAAAATATTAACTACAGGATGAATAACTTGCTTTTTCTTTCAGATCTCCCTGTCTGTTCCTTGAATTATTCAATTTATCCGATCTCTTCCACTTGTTATGATCATACGTCTTTTCCTTTCCCCTTTGTTGACACCCTATGTTTGTTACTGAATTCTATTTCAAGTCATGCTGCTCTTCTAGTGGCTTCATTCTTTTGCTCCCACATAGAGTCTGATAATTTTAAGGCTCTTGTAGGTATCCTATTGGTTATGCCATTCCTTGAACTCAGATTTCAATTCAAGATGTCCTCCAGAAGAGTCTAGATAGCTCAATATGACTGTCACAGTGAATAATTGTTTAGCACCTGCGTAGTATTTTTACAGGCTGGCACTATACATGTTTTAAAGAAGAGAGCCCCAGTAGTGGACGTTTACAAAGCTGTGGGGGTGCAGGGAAGTGCTATTTATAATGCATTTGAATAACACTGTCTCTCTCTTTTTGTTTTGTAGAATTGGATGACCATGAGCCAAATTGTAATTGTAGCATCCAAGGCCTCTGTTCCATATTTTCTCAAGGAATATACTACTTATACCCCTTCAACATTGAATATCATATTTTAGCATCCACAGTTCTCTATGTGCTCTGGAAGAATATTGGACGCAACATTGAACACCTTCACCAACACAAGATGTCTTTTAAGTTTCAAGGCAAAACAATGGGCACTATTTTGGGACTAGCTGTGTTCATTACAACTATAGCAATTGTTGTTGTCTATTTGATTCAGATTGGCCGTTCAAAAATAAAGAGTGAATCAGCACTTCAGATGTTTTATTTGTATGCTATCACCGTATTGACACTCATGTGTGTAGCTGGGATAGTTGCTCTTCTGATTTACAGATATGAAAACAAATCACTGGATGTTTCAAAAAATCCAGCTAGGAAACTTGATGCAGACTTACTGGTTGGAACAGCTTCGGGATCCTGGCTTCTTTCTTGGGGTTCCATTCTTGCAATTATCCTTGCTGAAACCCATCCCGCCTACACATGGTTCAATCTGCCCTATTCCATTCTTGTTATAATTGAGAAATATATTCAGAACCTCTTCATCATTGAATCCATACACCGTGAACACGAAAAGGTCAACGATGACATTAAAACACTCCGGATTGCTACGGTATCCAATGGAAGCACTTTGTCCCCAGCTCCTTCCTACAAAGAAATATATAATGGGACCAGTGGCATTGACAATGGCACGTTACCACAAGTGGTCAATGGAAATTGTATTTTGCCGGAGAGCAATGGAAGCGGTTCTTTGGATGAAGAAAAAAGTGACAACGGTGTGCCAGTCACTCCCTCTACCTCTGATTTCTCACTTCACAGCAGAAAACAGCCTATCAGCAACAAAAGAACCATCCTGATGAATATCGCTGCATTTTTGTTGTTGTGTAATCTCTCAGTAAGTTAATTTACAGCAATAATGCCAATTAACTCAATACGCACAGCGGGCAATGGACTACAAACCAAAACCCCTGGTTGTGCCTTTAACAGCAGTTTAATCTGCAGGTATTTAGCATACACATCAAGTTGCCTTTAAAAGCAGAGCTACAGAGAGCAAGTGAAAAGGTGACAACTTTGTACAGCAGTTCTGCCTCCCTTTGTCTTACAACATCCCAGTCAATTGAACAGAGCTGCAGTGGCACAATGGATTAAACCCTTGTGCCAACTGAAATGCTGACCTGAAGACTTGAAGGTTGATGGTTCAAATCCGTGAGATGGGGTGAGCTCCCATTTTTCAGCCTCAGCTTTCCAGTGGGGACTGAAGACTGACAGGTCACAGGTTCGAATGTGGGGAGAGCACGGATGAACTCCCTCTATCAGCTCCAGCTCCTCATGTGGGGACATGAGAGAAGCCTCCCACAGGATGGTCTGGATGCCCCCTGGGCAACTGCCAATACTCTCATATCAGAAGCGACTTGTGGTATATTCCCAAGCTGCTTCTGACACAATAAATAAAAATGTTGAACAGGGCTTATATTCTACTATTCTTCTTATTCACAGGATTTTCTGGGACTCACAGGCAAGATTTCTCTTTAATATGTTCTATAATTGTTCAATATTTTACAGGCAAAGAAGAAACAAGAACAAAAAAAAGATGAAATAGCTATATGTATAATGCTTTTTGATTACACTATGTAACATGATTTTTGTTCCTGGGTTATAAATGTCATTTCTTAATTGGTTCTATCATAATAACATGGAAAAAAGTTTATTAAACTGCAAAAACTTTGTTTTTGTGGGACATCCTGCTGCACATTTCGCTATACTTTTTCAATGAACGTTTCAAGTCTAAACAAATTCAACATAGTTTGTGGCAGCCACAAAACTGAAGTTTCTGGAGTATAACAACTACTTTCAGAGTAACTACTGCACAGTTAAACAGGAAATAACACTTTCAAACCAGGAACAGGAAAAAATTAAATTTTGTTACATAGTAAAGGGTAAAGGTAAAGTTTGCCCTTGACATTAAGTCTAGTTGTGTCTGACTGAGGGTGGTGGTGCTCATTTCCATTTTTAAACTGAAGAGCCAGCATTGTCTGTAGATACCTCCAAGGTCATGTGGCCAGCATGTCTGCATGAAGTGCTGTTACCTTTCCGCAGAAGCAATACCTATTGATCTCACATTTGCATGTTTTTGAACTCCTTGGTTGATAGAAGTTGGGGATAGCAGCGGGAACCCACCCTGCTCCCCAGATCTGAACCACCGACCTTTTGATCAGCAAGTTCAGCAGCCCAGCGGTTTAGCCCACTGTGCCACCGGCACTTTCAAACCAGGAACAGATTTTTCTTTTCAAATTTTCTTTTCAAACTTGCTGACCAAGTTCTATACTACAACTTATTCTAGTTTCATCCATTATATAGAATTGTTGCAATATATTTTCTAATTACACTATGTAATAACATTACACTATGTAATAATATTAGAAAATATATTGCAACAATTCTATATAATGGATGAAACTAGAATAAGTTGTAGTATAGAACTTGGTCAGCAAGTTCAGCAGCTCAGAATATTATTGTTATGTCGGAAATGCATACTGATAGTTGTACTTACAGTAGAGTCTCGCTTATCCAACCTTCACTCAGCCGACGTTCTTTATTATTGAATGTAGCTTGCTGCCCACCCAGATCCACAGTTGTTTCTCTAGGCAGCAACACACAGTGGGTTTCTCCGCACGTCGGGTGCCCGCCAAGAGGGGCGAGACGCAGCCAGTGCAGACTTTTCCCGTTGGGCACAGCATCCATCCTACAGCAGCTGCGTCTCTCTCTCCCCCCCATCCCCCGGCGGGTGCGTGGCACACTGAGAGGCTCGCTGTGCATTGCTGTTGAGAAAAATAAACGGCATGGCTGCCCAGAAAAACAAAAAGCACATTGCTGTGGTTAATGTTTTCAATACATTACGATGTATTGGTGCAATTCATAAATACAGTAATTACAACATAACATTACCATGCACTGAACTGCTTTTTCTGCTGATTTGTTGTAAAACATGTTTTGGTGCTTAATTTGTAAAATCATAATGTAATTTGACATATAATAGGCTTTTCCTTAATCCCTCTTTATTATCCAACATTTTTGCTTATCCAACGTTTTGTCGGCCCATTTATGTTGGATAAGTGAGACTCTATTGTATAAAAATCAAACATTTACTGATAACAAACCAGCATTTGCAAGGCTTGCTAAATGAAGAGGCTGATTTCCCTTTTTCATGAAGCACAGCTGAAAAACTTTTCCCTCAGCGTCTGCTGTAAACATAGGTTGTTGCTAACAAATTGGTGTAAATGTCTAAAACAACCACTAGATGGAGTTCAGAAATTTTTTGGGAGCTAAGGGGACCCCATTTGGGGCCAGCACTAACAGTTTAAGAAGCAGTACTTCAAGCCTGTAGTGTGAAAGGGTGTGTCGTCTGGAGCAGAGCATTTCATATGCATGAATATGCAACAACACTTTCAACCAACCAATCGCCCCTCAGAGATTAGCCATCCTGTGGTCACTGTTACAGTTATTACTGCATGTTCTTCCTCTTTCCATGGCAGAGATGGGAAGGAGGGCAAGGCAGGACAACTGGCACTTGGTTGTCCCGATTAGCGAGTGACTGGAGAACTTTGCCTCTTTTGTGTCAGCCCACCAACACACCAGAATTGGTGTAATTTGAATTCTCTAAACCAGTGATGCCCAACCTTTGTTCCTCCAGGTGTTTTGGACTTCCGCTCCTACAATTCCTAACAGCTGGTAAGCTGACTGGGATTTCTGGGAGTTGAAGTCCAAAACACCTGGAAGACCAAAGGTTGAGAAGCACTGCTCTAAACATATGAAGTGGGCTGCAGTTAATGAAAACCTATACCTAATAAACCTTTAAATCAGTGGGTTCTCAACCTGGGGTCCCCAGATGTTTTTGGCCTTCAACTCCCAGAAAACCTAACAGCTGATAAATTGGCTGGGATTTCTGGGAGTTGTAGGCCAAAAACATCTGGGACCCCAGGTTGAGAACCACTGCTTTAAATGGTGGTTCTCAACCTATGGATCCCCAGATGTTTTGGCCTTCAACTTCCGGAAAACCTAACCACTTGTAAGATGGCTGGGATTTCTGGGAGTTATAGGCCAAAACACCTGGGGACCCACAAGTTGAGAACCACTACTTTAAAGTCTTGATACCTTACAGTTTCTTTTCCTGTATTATCTCATAGGAATGGAAGCAATTACATCCATTTTTTTTTACTTTTGTTCTCTTTCATAGCTTTGGATTCCACCAGCTTTCGGCTGCCGCCCTGAATATGACAATGGATTGGAAGAAATGGTTTTTGGATTCGAACCTTGGATTATTGTTGTTAACCTTGCAATGCCCTTTTCGATTTTCTATCGGATGCACTCAGCAGCCGCCCTTTTTGAGGTCAGTTGCAAAACATGACGTTCGTGAATACAGTACTGTGGATGGATGAGAAGTTGCCAGGACAGATATTTTATCAAAATAGAGTGTGCAATCGTTTGAATGGAGAGAAAATGAAGATGATAAAGACATTCATTGCATGGAACACGTCATACCTCATCAGTCACACTCTCTTGATAGACTAGACAATCATTAATACTTTCCTAGTAATTTTTTATGTCTTCATAGCACAGATCTAGCCATGATTACTCAGAGGTGCATCTCATTGTGATCACTGAAGCCTACTCCTGGTTACATGTGCATAGGATTGTAACATTATTTAATGAAAACAAAACTTTTTTTCTCACTAACCATTTGAAGTCCGCCATAAAATATGTTCCAGATGTTAATTTATACTGCAGTTTTCTTGAGTTTGTTGAGCTCTGTTGTACACAATGAAAAATGTATGGCATGGTTCAGCTACATTGCCAGCACAATCCTATACATGTTGGCTTAAAAATAAGTCTGGTTTAGTGTTTTGGGACCTACTTACATGTCAGTAGATACAGGATTAAATTGCTTTTAAGTCCCATGAGTATAAGAGGAAATATTTAAACAATGGGACTCTAAAATATGTTTTCATCATATGCAGAAATCTAAATATTGTTTCAACCTATCATTAATTTAAATGCTTGAAATACTGAAAGCAGTGTTAATATTTCATAAGACAAATACCTACAGAACTAAATACCAGGTATCCAAAATGTATGTATTATGATAAACCTTGGCATCAGAATTGTTTTGTACGTGTTCTGTATATTTTTATATTGGTTCATGAGGTGAAAATAAATAAATAATGAAGTTATTTTTCATTCCATCCTTTATGTTCTGTTATTTTTTAACAGCAGAGACTTTGTATACTGGGATGTGGGCAGTGTTGGCCTCACATATTACTGAGAGGCACTGTTGACTTGTTGGAAACCATTCAGACAAAGTTAAGAATCAATGATCAGAGATAAGGAGGAAATTCTTCTTAGCACAACTCTTACAATCTTAATCAGCACAGTGAATAGTGTGTTGAGAAATCTTGCTGTCATCTCCAAAACAGTGGAGTGATTCTTCCACGAGAGTTCTCTGAGTTGGGAAGATTCATAGCAAACGTTCCACATTCCAGGTAGTAGGATTTTCATGAAGCATATGAACCTTTGGAAGGACTTCTTCAGGACTCACTGGAAGATGGATGAAGGAGCTATAGGGACTAGAATAGACTTTAAGGCTGAAGATTCCCACCCCATCTGCTGGATAGCTCACCTCTGGAAGCACCCACAGTTTCTTAGGTATGTATGTAATTATTCACAACTTTAATGACAATGTCTGTGATTTTATTTTATTCATTTCATTTGCTGTTAAACCCCTGCGCCAGCAGGACTGAAGACCAACAGGTCACAGGTTCGATTCCAGGGAGAGCGCGGATGAGCTCCCTCTATCAGCTCCAGCTCCTCATGTGGGGACATGAGAGAAGCCTTATACAAGGATGGTAAAAACAGCAAAAACATCCGGGCGTCCCCTGGGCAACATCCTTGCAGATGGCCAATTCTTTCACACCAGAAGCAACTTGCAGTTTCTCAAGTCGATCCTGGCACGACAAAAAAAAATTGCTGGAAATCAGGGGTCTTGGAGAAACAAGGACGGCTCAATCTTTGCCCTTCTTGGTTTATTGTGCAAATGTTTCCAGAAGCAAGCATAACTATACATATTTATCTGTGCCAGGGAACTGAGAACCTCCACCCAGGCCACACAAAAGGAGAGAATGGAAGTGGATACAGATGCTGGTTAAAGAGGAAAATATGCTTGACATCATGATAGCAACTGGAAGGGGTTAAGACATGCTAGACATGCTAGTGCTAGATCTGGAATGTTATGTGAGTGTTACAGCAAAACATCTTCATGGAGACTCAATTCAGTAATATTTGTTGGAGTTGTCTGTTTGAAGAGCAGTGTCTACTCCTGTCAACATTATTGTCTTATGCTCACTGATGCTGTCCCCCAAAGCCCTTTGCATTTTCTTACATTCTCCAGTGTGTGTACATTGTTTTTCTTATCCACTAGATGGTAGTATTTAGTTAACTATACTACAATGTGCGTTTCTGTAGAGCAGTGGTTCCCAAACTTTTTTTGACCAGGGACCACTTGACCAGGGACGACTTTGACCTGGGACCACTCTCCAACATTTGTATCAAAAGGGTTACAAATCAGCTTTTGGTAAACTTAAAATTTGGTTTGGTTATTTGGGGGTGCTGATTCATAACATTGCATTGGATAGTCCACATCAGCTATAGTTTCCGATACAGAATATATTTATTTATTTATTTATTTACTGTATTTGTATACCGCCTTTTACAGCCAATTGGCAACTCAAGGCAGTTTCCAACAAATCAGTATACATAAAACATAGTAGATAAAAAAAAACATTTAACAGTATAAGACATCACAAAAGCAATAAAAACATATGCCATCCAGTAGTCACCATCTGCTCGTCCACAGAAAACCATATTTAATAATCTAGATCTGATGTGATCTATCCAATGCAATTTTATGAATCAACACTCCAAATAACCCCAGGAACAGGCCTAAAAATGAATACACCAAGGTGCCCCCGCTCCCAGGCACCACACGAAACGACTCCACTCAGGAAGAGGAAGGAGGAGGAGAAGCAGCAGTCAGGAAGCTTGTTGTCGCACCTTTTGTGGGTAGTCAGCCTCTCCTCTCTCGACATCTGCCTCAGCACTCCAAGAGAGTTTCATAAGACCATTTGCTCTCATTGCAGTGGTATAGTAATAGTAAGGCCTCAGACTATATTTTAGTTCTTGCGGACCACTGGTGGTCCATGGACCACAGGTTGGGAACCACTGCTGTTGAGTCACTGAGCAGGTTGTTTCATTTAATGGACCAACATGATTTCACCCTAGATCTTAGATACATAGAAACTGTTGAACTTTTGTAACGTTACTGGTCCACATCTTTGTACTTTGGCCACATCATGAGGAGACAGCAAAGCCTGGAGAAGACAATTATACTGGGGAAAGTGGAAGGTAAAAGGAAGAGGGGCCGACCAAGGGCAAGATGGATGGATGGCATCCTTGAAGTGACTGGACTGACCTTGAAGGAGCTGGGGGTGGTGACGGCCGACAGGGAGCTCTGGCGTGGACTGGTCCGTGAGGTCATGAAGGTCAGAGACGACTGAACAAATGAACAACAACAACAATGATAACATGAATTAAGGTGGGCTGTTTCTCTGCCCCCCCCACCCCTCCATGTCTTTTGCTATTGTATAGCAGACAATAATGTGCCTGAAAAATGATGTTTCCCCATGCCTTGAAATAGGGCATGGGGAAAGTCCTGTCATCTGTACCACTTGGGCAATTATTGTGGAAAGCAATGTGTATTTAATCCAGATTCCTCCCCTTTTGCATGGGAACTTTATACAAAGTGTGGGGCAGGTTTTTTTTCCCTCTGTTGGCCACTGCATTCAACCTCACTCTGCCCAACAAGGTTTCAGACACTGTTAATATGAAGCATTCTCATATCTGATATCTGTGCTCCATCATGGGGAAAACAGTCACGCCAATGAATCTATTTTCATGGTGTGCTGGCAGATTTTCCACACACAGCTGAGGTGTATCACAAAGTGCACCGGAGTACCAGGATATCTTGGTTGTTGTTATGTGTTATCAAGGTAATTCTGACTGATGGTTTTGTGGCAAGCTTTCTTCAGAGGAGGTCTGTTAATACCTTCTTCTAAGGTTTTTTTTTTCCATGTCAAAAGCCACTTGAGAAACTGCAAGTCACTTCTGGTGTGAGACAATTGGCTGTCTGCAAGGATGTTGCCCAGGGGATGACCGGATGTTTTGATGTTTTACCATCCTTGTGGGAGGCTTTTCTCATGGTTGCCTGCACCACTGGGGGCTCCTCTTCTAAGGCTGACATGTGATTTGTGCATTTGTGGCTCAGCAGGGATTCAAACCTGGTCTTCTGAATTCCTACTCTGACACTCAAAACCCTGTGCCACACTGTCTCTTTTGCAGGACTTTAACCAGATTCCAGATCCTTCCAACTGGTGCATCGGGAGGATATTATTGCTCTTGGGCTGACCTAACATGTCAGGGATGACTGTGATATTCATGTGTGAAACCAAACTAATCTAGCTTTCACCTTCAGAGGCAGCTCCCCATGCAAACTTTCTGTGCAGCCAAATAGGAAGAAAACCCTATATCTTTGCAGGTATCGGCTGTCAAGAAGGATAAGCATTTTCCAGTTACTCACAGGTGGCTTTCCAACTCATTGCACTCCCCTCCTCTGCATTATATAAGCTGAAGGGTGGCTTCAAATATTACCTTGGCAATAGCTAAGGCACCAGCTCATGTATCTTCTCTTTGGAAAACGTGAGTTCATTGAACACATCTATAGTTGTAATCTTATATCAATGTGAAATGACTAGCAAGAAGGATGCATGTTGTGATAAAAGCCCATTTTTTCAGGCATTTGTTATGCATTTGATTTAAGGTGTGAATGACAAATGTTAAAAAGCATAGATTCAAATACAGGCAATGATTTCCTGGAGTAGGGGAACTTTATCATATTTGAAAAAAATACATTATTTTCCCTTACTTCAATATGTAAAATGGCTCCACTCAATTTGAGATGTAATCTTTCATAGGCCCCTTCTACACTGCCAGATTATCTCCTTTGAACCGGATTAAATGGCAGTGTAGACTCATATAATTCAATTCAAAGCAGATAATGTGGATTATATGGCAATATTGAAGGCGCCCTACTCTTGCAGCTTGCAATTCTTCTGTAGGTCCTTTCTCTCTCTGGCGCCTTCTACATTGCCATATAATCCAGATTATAATATCAGATAATCCACATTATATGCTTGGAACTGAATTATATGTGTCTACACTGCCATATAATCCAGTTCAAAGCAGATAATCTGACATATCTGTTTCGATGGGCCTTTGATCTTTGATTGCTGTTTTTAAATTGTTTTAAATTGTTTTTAAATTGTGTTCAATTTTAGCCTGTTCTTGTAAGCCGCTCCGAGCCCCAGGGGAGTGGCGGCATATAAGTTCAAATAATAAATAAATAAATAAATAAATAAATAAATAATCTGGATTTTATATG